CTGTGCACAAATTGTTTGTCGTGTTTGCCTACACAATATATAGTCAGTTCACTTTATAGTAAAATCCTGTGAATTTTACCTGGTGGTGTGATATGTTATAAAATTGCCACTGACTTTATGAAAATACTCTATTTTAAAAGTCAAACACGCTGTGTGAATGTGGAATCTCCTGTTTGTGCTGTTCCTGACAAATCAAGTGTGAATAGTGTGTATGATAGTGAGCAGAAAATCTGAACCTCTAGAATTGCTGCTTTCTTTACATTTAAATCTGATTCAAAAATCACATAGGGCTTTTTTGAAGTGGGAATCCTGCTTTAGTTTTTTAAGGAGGTTTCTGAACCTTATGTATTTTGGCACTGACAATTATGCTGAAATAATATCGTGCCAGCCTGTGTAAATTGCTTAGTTCCTGTGATAATTAGCAAGACTGTGTTGACTCCCTTATTTCTGAGACTATCCATTCATTGCCAAATAGCTATTTAACTCATGCAATCACCATCCCTGAAAAATTAAAACAACCCAACGTGTTTTTGATCTTAATAAAGAGCGTTAAACAAAAAGACAGTTGTTTGATGGATGAGACCACAATAATCTGATTTGTCACATTGTGCAAAGAAGACACATTCTTTCAAAAGTTTGATTCCAAGACAAATCTCTCAGAAGTGCACAAACTACTTCCATATTTCAACGTAGAGACAGAAAATCACAGCGATGGGAATCGTGGAGTAATTTCCCTTCTAATTCTTAGAATTTAGAACTATGTGCCGAGGCTATTGTTCATTTCAGGGCCATTGCATAGCAATGAGGTATACTATTAGTTGATGTATATGCGTACACTTGTCTTGAAATAGGTTGAACACAGAAATGGTGGGTGGGGGGAATAATAGAAAGGCCTGAACATGGTGTGTATGTGTGTGGGGCTATCCTCAGTTTTAGCAGTCTTCCCACATAATAAGTTGGTTGGATGAAGAAGGCTCTTCAGCTCATTTGACCCCATCCTTCCAGAATACCCATCCTATTGTCTTCTTGTCACAGCATCAAGCTGTTTTGTAAGCGAGTCCCGCGTCCTGGCCTTAGCCACCCTTCCTGGCAAGCTGTCCCGATGTGAAAGGCGCTATACAAATGTAATCTTGTTGTTGTTCCATTCGTTAATTCCGGTCTAAAGAAATACTGTCCTAACCTTTAAATCTGTACATGGCCTTATATTCTCTGAGGGCCTATCCTTTGAATACAACGTTAAGAAACCGAGGTACCGTTTGTCCTTTAGGTGGATGTTGAAGATCCCATGGCACAACTCGAAAAGAGAAGGTAATTTCTCCCAGTGTCCTGGCCAACATTTCATTAGAATACAATAAGTATTTTGGTGTGCCAATTGGTTGCCACATTTGCCTACCAATACAGTCAGTATACTTTACAGTAAAATCCGACGACATTAATAAGGTACTATATCAAATGCAAGGATTATTATAATTTATACAAAAAAAGCTTACCAATTAAGGCTGTATTTAAGAATTTGCCAAATTCTGGACAAACTAAAATGCTACATAAAATAGAGTAAATTATGCCTAGGTGGAATTTTTCCCCATATATTATTTATAGGGACATTTGTATGTGTATGCCTTATCTGCATTTAGTAATTCATACAAGGGAAATGGTGACTTATCTGCAGGGCAGGAGAAAAAAATTAGGAAGCACCAGTCCAAACTGTTTAAAGCCTCCTATTTCTAGCCATTCGGCTATCTTAGGGATCCTGTTGGTGAGATCACCTCATGATTATATACCACTAGTATTTACAGAATGTACAAGTTTGATTCTTCTAAAACATAAGCTCTGGTTCCCCTGGGAAGTTATTCTGGGATACTTGGATAGTAAAATTATTTTTCAAAACCCTTTTTTAATAGCATAAAATCAACAAAATATCAGTTCCTAAATGTGCTGCTGGAAGAAGTCAGGCGATTGTGCCCTTCAAGATTATTTTGATAGTTTGTTTTAATGATCACAGTTGCTTTTCTTGTAATTGTATCTCTATAATTGCTAACTATTTTAATCTCATCCCACACTGTAGAATCTTGATTGGCACCTGTCTGTTAATATTTTCTGTCAGTGAATATTTGCTCTCTTTGAACCTCCCACCTCTCCATCTCTAAATTACTGCATCTGATTCTGCACACTTCAAGATTGATCCAGTTATCCATGCAACCTTTAGCATTTTTTGATAGTAATGAATAGTGCCTTGTTTGTAGGAAAAATTAGGCTTTTCTACACCTTTCTGAAAAGCACTTGAAGGACAAAAACATTATTTTTTATTCACTACAGTTTCCCTTTCATTTAAGTCTGTGCTGTATCAATGTGCAGCACCTGTTTGACAACGAGATAGAAGCAAAGTTTGGAATTGGTTGCTTGATCCAGAAATTGACCATTCCCTTTTAAGCAGCCAAATTCTGACATATAGGTACTAATTTGATTAACACAAAACTTATATAATCCCACTTGCTATGAATTGAATAATAATATTAATAATCCTTGCATTTGATATAGCTGTTTTTGTAATGTTTTTGTCTTCTAGACATCTCAAAATGCTTCACAGAGTATACTGTAAAGTGAATTGACTGTATATTTGTGGGCGAAAAACGGCAGCCAATTACGCACAGCAATGTCCCATAAACAGTCGTAGATTTAAAATGACAAATTTATTATTGTTTTGTTTTTTTGGAGGGATTATTATTAGGAGTGTGGAGTCAGAAACTTGCCCAAGGTTTCGCCCTCTGCCTGGAATTGAACTCAGGTCTCTCGCTTGCAAAGCGAGTGCTCTAACCACTGAGCTACAGGACTCCACGAATAAGTGATACAGTTGATTTGGTTCTCTGTAATGTTTAAGTAAGTTAACTTTTTTTTATTTTTAAAAAGGTAAGTTGCTTTCTCAATATCAGTGGGTGATGGTTGCAGGAGAGGAGAGTGTTGAGAGATTTTAAAAGAGATATTGACTGGCAATGGAATGTCGGAATCTTTGGCGGTCTCGGTAGTCCGGTTCATGAGCGAGTCTGCATCATTCCAGGCAACTGCCAATGCCAGCACAGCTAGCCTGGTGTTAACCCTGCAGGCCAAAGGCCGAACGGATAGGGTGGTACTAGCTGAATACACAGTGGGAAAGCTTGCCGGACAGCAGTACCAATGGCAAACTATGTGGTTTTAGCTGGTTAGACTCCAGCAGTACACCAATGCACACTCTGGGGTCCCCAAGCCTTGGCTCTTGTCAATCTGAGCCTAATACTTTCTAGAATTAGGTAAGCAGGATGCATGCATCCAGGGAGAGTGCGCATTCTATTCCAACAATCTATCTCTGAGATTTCCATGTGTAGGTGGGATGCATGGAAATCTCAGCTTGTTTGGGATACTCTTAAGCATGATGATGGGTTTCCGCGTGTGTCAGACAGCCGCCTGACCAAAAAGAAATTACGCCAGGTTTTGCTTCACAACTCTACAATCCTGCTGTGGTACTCTACTTAAAATTCTTCTGCAGGATTTCATTGTTTGTGCAGTAACCTGAAGCTTTTGTCTACTTGTCCTGGCTGGACAAAGCTGTAGAAGAACAGCTTTTACAGACAAAGAATTGAAAGGGAAAAAAACGACATTGATTTACATGCCTGCTTTCATTTTGCAAAACTATCTTGTAAACTGTGTTGCGCCAACTAGAGCTGTTTATAATTCAATTTTGCAACTGATAACTCAAACAATGTGATCCAAAAGAACATCACAATGTCTAGATACACAAGTGGATTTGCAGCTGTTTAAAAGATGCAGTGGAAAATGTGTAACTGCTGAATATTTATTAAGTATAGGTTATACTCTTCTGTATTTTGTCTAAGGATACAAATGTTATTTGATTTTGCATTTGTCTATAGTTTCTCATTGATTTGTCTGTATTATATTTTATACCGTGATCAAGCAAGGAGATTTGCTCCCAGGTTTACATCTGCCGACACTGCGATAGTGGTTGTTGCTCAGCTTGAATCTCCTTTTCCAAGGGGGAAGCATCTGACCTCTTCTCAATGCATTTAGAGAATGGCCTGACAGTTCATTGTGTGGATGTAATGAGTTCTACAACTCTTAACAACCATTAGAGCTCTAACAGAACTAATCCACCACACAGCAGTGAACTTTAGAGCCTCTTTCATTGTTGATTTGTTTGACATATTCTGCTTGCAAAAATATATTTGCAGTGGAACAAAATGTTGGAGAACCAACACAAGGCTGGACAAAAGTTATAATAATATTGTAGTAATAATAATAATCCATGCATTGATGTAGCACCTTGTTAAGTTATTGAGATGTCTCAAAGTGCTTAATAATATTTTACTGTGAAGTGAATCAATGGTATTTGTAAGCAAATATGGCAGCCAATTTATGCATAACAATGACCCATCCAAATGGAGAACGATTGGATAATTTTATCTGGGGGATGGTTGGCAAGGAAGGACAGAATAATTTTCTTCTCATTTTGAGTAGTGCTCTTGAATAGGCAGTTGAGATCTCAGTTTAATGTCTCATCCAAAGGATGGCATCTCTGACACACCATATTAGTGTCAACATAGGCTGTGAGTTTAAAGTCCCAATGTGGGGTTTGAATCCACAAGCTTTGACTCGGAAGCAAGAGTGCTACTACTGAGCCTGCAGACGCCTGCTTCAATCGTGAGTCACTCACTATTGCTGCACTGAGAAAGTTCTGAGAACTTTCAAGGTATTAACTCTGGGATTCTCTTGAATATCTCCTAAAGACTGATTTGTACAGTATTGCATGGTGGTTATCCTCCCTGTTGGCTACAGAAGGTAAGATGGCCTATGGAGACCAAGGGAGTAGGAAAATAATGAGGTATTTTACACCCACAGAGGGAATCATTTTTGTTGCAATTTGTAAGACTAAACATAAGACTATAGTCATATTTTAGCAAAAGGGAATGCTGAAATAAATTAAAAAATATATAAATATAATTTTTCCCTAGACATTGGCAACTTCCCAAGGAAACATACTGGAAAACAAAGAGCTCATAGAATCTCTCAACCAGACCAAGGCGAGCAGTGCACTCATCCAAGATTCCCTGACTGAGTCATTCAGATTGCAAGTCTCTTTAGATCAGGTATTTTACATTTTTCAAAAAAAGCTATAATGTGAATTCATAAATATGATCCTTAAAAAAAATCCTGTTTGTAAAATAACAAATTGATCTAACGTATATACGTACGTATTCTACATCAGTTAAAATATTTTAGTAAAATTAAATTTGCTCGAGCATATGGATACATTTTTTAAAAAATTTAAAAATGTGCCAATGCATTATTTTGAAGCAGTGATGGCAGTTCAGGCTGGGAGCCATTTTCAATACAGTGAGTTCACAGTGCTGTCAGACTGAACAATGTGACCATACATAAGAAGACTTTGCCTTTAGGCACACAAATCGATGTTTGGAACTCATACATGTGACCCTTCAGATCTGTATTCTAGAGCACATTACTCCAAGACTTAAAGCTTTTGTCATTTTTGATGCATCCTTAATAAAATTAAGATGCTTCCTTGATTAACGGTCTGCCTTTGGCTTATTGTTATATTATTCTGTCTACAGAGGGCAGCAAAACCTCAGCAACTGACTGCAATTTTTTTTGCAGGAAAGGGATGCATATCTTCCACTTGCCGAGACTGCCAGCAAGATGTTCTTTATTATCATTGATCTATCTAAAATTAACAATATGTACTGCTTCAGTCTAGCAGCTTTTCTTAGACTCTTCCAGCGATCCTTACAAACCAGAAAGGTATGTTTTCAAATGTCAAGAATGCTGCAAGACATGATTTATTCTTCAGGTGATACAAATATGAGCAAACTGTCTGCCATCAACTTCAATACAATTATTTTTAATGGTTGTTTTCACATTTCTCTTGAGTTTACTTCCAGTTTACTAAATGGAGATGCATATACTGTTCATAGTTGCCAAAACGAATCATACAGTGTAGTCAATTTGTTTCTGTGGCTGTTCTTTTTTACTTTTTAAAAATGTTATTTTACGTTTAAATGTTTAAAACTCATCATTCATTATTTTCTGCATCTTATGAGTTGGTAGACTATCTAATGGGTAAAATCAAAAACATCTCTGCTTTATGAGACATTGGGACAGAAATGCCAATTTCTTTTCACTATTGTATTCATTTGTCTCCAGTTCAAGGATATTGTTCATTTTAATCACCAAAGGATCTCTAAGAGAAATGTAAAGTCCATTTTTCTCCCATACTATTGAGGAAGCGCAGTGTTTATTAGTCCCACTTTATATTTTTCAAGAGAAATGGAGAGATGACTATACTAAAAATCCAAACTAATTTCTTGAAGACTATCCATGGCCACCCAGCCAACAGTCATTGAAAGTATATCATGGAAACTCGCCAGCAGCTAACAATCTCAAGGATGGCTACTTTCACTGTGTGGCATAAGTAGCGTGTTGGGCTTCCATTTTGGTGATTAATTTAATTTAATGGTGAACTTCACCTCCTTTATATTTTGTGTACCTACATGTTGTGCTTAATTTACATTGAAACATTTATTAATTTAAGTTTGTTTTTGTTCTTTGCCCCTCGCTGTATGAAGTTATTATTAAAATCTTCAAGGTCACTTGTTGGCGTCTTATGATTGATGGGCAAAAATAATTAAAAATACCTCTGGGGCAACTCCTTTAGTAATGGAGGAATTGAAGTTTTTTTTTAAAAGTTTTTTTATGGGTAGACAATCTCATAATATTTCTCCCTTTGAAACTTAGTTTGCCTCAGATTACAAAAAGATACCTCTTGCTGACAATATTGATGTTTTTCTGTTCAATGCGAAATCGCATAATAAAGAAATCATAACATTCTTACTACATCTCCTTTAGAGGCATCTCTTCTGGAACCCACTTGGTCATTTATAGTTATCCCATGACTCTATCCTCAATTCCTTATCTACATGCTCCACTTTGATGATATTCTCTGCAGGCATGGGGTCTACTTCCATATGTATGTGAATAACACTCAAATCTAGGCCTCTGCCTTCACCTTTCACTCCAGGTTTACTGCAGACCTTTTAGATTGTCTGTCTAGAATCAAATCTTGGCATGAACTCCCATCAGGTTGCTCAAATGATAGCACTCTCATCTCTGAGTCAGGAGGTTGTAGGTTCAAAGCCTACATTGGGACTTTGACCTCACAGTCTAAGTTTGCACTCCAATGTGCTGCTGGGACATTGTCAGAGGTGCTGTCCTTCGGATGAGATTTTAAACTGATGTCCCTGTCCTGTTTGCCTGTTCAGGTGGACATTAAAGATACCATGGCACTGTACGAAAAAGAAGGGAGTTTTTCTCCCACTGCCTTGGCCAACAATCCCCAAATAAAATTAGTCATTCGCTTCATGTTTGTTTGTGGGATTATTGCTGTGCACACATTTGCTTTGCTGCTGAGTTTCCTTATAATTACACAGTCACGACATTATACAATAGTTCCTATGAAGCTCTTTGAGACATTTTGACGATGTGATGCAGCGCTATGTCAAATGTAATATTATCATAATTCGACCTCTGGCTTTAACAGCAGCTGCCCTGTGAGGGGCACTATATAAATGCAAGTTGTTGTTAACCTTTCCAGATGCTTGTTTTGGTTATCCAGGTGTCTGGCACATGCAGAAAACCATCACCATGTTTAAGAGTATCAAAACCAAATAAGAGTTTATTTCATATATATCTTGATAAATATTAATCAAATAAGATACACAGTGTTTATACATACCACCAATGCAGTAAAGCTATTTATAAGTTGATTCATTTTCTACCCAATAGGAATCTGAAAATACAGAGATCCGAATCACAGCTCTGATCAGCACTTTGAAAGCTTTAGTGTATGAATATGTCTGCCGCTCCCTGTTTAAGGTAAGAATAACCAAGTGAATATATTATTCGGAAGAATAGCCTTTCCGTTGGATGCTGATCATCACTGGTCAATAGACTTTTTAATTTTGCAGTGTTGTTTGCTTGGAAATTAACTAGCTTTATTAATGTTGTTAAGCTTTTTTCACATTTATTGCTAGTGATTAGAAACATTGAAACAAGTTGATTTAATAACTATTATTGGTTTCTTTGCAATGTGATGTTTTGGTTTGCTACACATCAATATGGTGGTTTTCTTTACAATAGTAGCATAGACACTATCCTGTGTGAAGGGTACTATATAAATGCCAAATCTAGTTTGGAGGGAGCCAGGCAGAGGGATTGAGGGAGAGAGATCCAGAGTTTCGGGTGTAGTGGCTGAAGGCACGGCCATCCATGGTGGACGGAGGGGACTAAGGACAAACTGGAGACCGGAGCCGGCTGAGCGGACACAGTGGGTGGTGGAGTGGGGGTAAGCAAACCGGATAGGTAGGGAAGTGCGAGGGCATGAAGTGATTTGAAAATGAATGAGAGGATCTTGAAATCGATCCGTTCAGTAATTGGGAGCCAATGGAGCCTGGCAAGGACTGGTGTGATTGGGATTAAAGTGACTATTTTGAAGAATAATAGCAGTCGTTGTGAGAATGTTGTTATTCCTGGCTATCATTACTAAGTTTTTCTAACTAGGACGTTGGTTTGTTTATTGTGCTGTTGGACTTTGAAACCCGATGTTAACTTATTCCAAAATATTCAAAATGCGCAGACCTCTTGCATCGCTGCTACGTCTGACCTGCAGAAAAGCGTGACACCAACAAGGCGCGGAGCAATGAAAATGGCCAACTTCTGGCTCATTAGGTCACTGCCAATGCTACTTCTTGTACGCTGTACACAAAGTGATCTTGGCTGTAGCCCAATGACACGAAAGTGGGCCATTTTTGCTTCCTGACTGGCATTTAATTTTTCTGCATACATGCGCAGTGAGTCAAAAAATATTATCAGCCATTATGCGCGGTTATTGTGCTGTCTGAGATCCTTGTGTTATGGTGGTTCACTATGTAACTATTTTCAACTCCATTTACTCATCATCTCCTCTACAACTACCTGCTAAATGCTAATGCTTCCTTATTCATTCTTTTAAATGATTTTAACAAGATATTTAGCATTACACAAGTGAAGGATTATTGCCACCCGCTGTTCAAGGCAAACATCAGAACTCTAACACGCCAATGCAGTGGTGTGGGTTGTGCTGCTTTGTTGGAGCCGCCGTCCTTCAGATGAGACATTAAACTGAGAAACGAACTGCCTGATCAGGTGGATGTTAAGGATCCCATGGCACTATCCGAAAAGAAATGGGAGTTTATCCCTGTGTCCCAGCCATCAATACTGCAAACAAAATTGTTCATTAACTTCATGCCAATTGGAATGGAAAACCCCTTTTGAAATTAAGATTAAATTTAAGAATTATCCCAAATTCTGCTTGATTGTAAATTGAGGGACTGTAATGTTAAGAGCATGTTGAGTTTCAGGTCTCTGAGTAACAGTAGAGATCTTGAGTTCAACAAGAACAGAATAATACAAATTATAGTAGTTGCGGACAACAAGAGAAGCCAGGAATTCTTGGCTTGGTGCAGATTTGTGTGGGAAGGCTGGAAATTCTTTGAAGAAAGAGAAAGGCAGACCCACAGTGGGTAATCTAACATTCTTCCTTATTTATTTTACCTTCACAAACAAAAAAGCATTGCAGCAACATAGTGCAGACGCTGGCAGCCTCTGAGGACCTGCAGCACTTGTTTTCTTGAGCTGTTGAGATTGTAATGGTTGCTGAAAGCATGTAAACTTCTCCAGGTTAGCTACCTTTCAGAGTTTTGAGAGAAACTTTCCATATGTTGGCCTGAATAATAACTACTGCACAAGTAGAATTAACTGATCTTTCCTGGTGAGTTTCAGAGATGTATTTTGCTATGCAGTTTGTACTGTGGAGAACTAAAATGAACAACATCCAAATGATATTCCTTTCCACTGGAAAAATAGATGTTGTATAAAATATCTGCATTTTGGTTAGAACACTCGCAAGCGAGATGACCTAGGTTCGATTCCTGGGCAGGGTGAAACCTTAGGCAAGTTTCCTTACTCTGCATGCCTCTGTTTACCTAGCAGTAACTAGGAACCCAGTTCTTGTTAGTCAATTGGTGGATCACTTTTCTGGGGGTAATATTCCCTTTAAAATAAATATATAACAATAATAATAATTTGATCACTCAATCAACAAATGTTTGTGGGACACTGCTGTGCGCAAATGGCTGTCGCGTTTCGCCCACAGTTTCAAGTCAACTCACTTTACAATATATTCTATGAAGCACTTTGAGACATCTCGAAGACATGATAAAGCGCTATATCAAATGCAAGGATTATTAACTCAGAGGATCACAAAGAGGTACAGTTGAGGAAGGCTTACTGGAGATGTAGTCAAGGAGCACAGGGATAAGTGAGTGCATGCACTTAGCTTTGTTGACATTAGTTTTGAAATTGCAATACATTACAATTTACATGTATATAGTGCCTATCATTGGGAAGATGTCTAGAAGAACTTGCGATTGATCAGGATCAAAACTGATTGCAATTAAAGATAAATCAAACAAGTATTGTCCACACATTTTAATTGTCAAGTCACACACTCTGAATTGGTGTCAACAGGATTACATGAAGTGCAGAATTTAAGATTGAGCAGGTTTGTGACTGATACCAGAGGAAAATGTGTGAATCCTGGGGGTCTTAACCTATTCTCCATGGCCTTATGAGTCAATGTGGAATATTTTCTGGTAGTTTGTGTTTCTTAAACCTCACCTGATTGCATTCCCTGTTTACAGTCTTTTTTGCTTAAGTTGGAGATGTTCTTGGGAAAACTATAACCTGAGATCTTGTTGGAGTCTAAAGGAACAGGACAGATTAGCCTAGGGATTTTGTTTATATGGGTGTCTTGAGCTTCGGCCTTTGGGAGTGAACTATGATGTTCATAGCAAATTTTCAACTTGGAAATTGGCCTTAACCAGGGGCCAAAGATGAATTAACCAGAATTGACACAATAGAGCTAGGGCTTTAGAGGGCAAACAATTCATTTTAATTTGTAGCCGTTCGCCAAATAAGGATGCCTTTAAGCTTGATGGTTCTTAAGGGTTACATAGATCAAAATCATTATTTAGGTAAAATATTTTTTAATTGGAATTGACATTAAACCTTTGCTGATTGTTCTATGGAACACAACACTTTGTTTCAATTCACATCTAGAAATAATAAAATCCTAAAACCTCACATAGGCAGAGTCCAGTTATATTTGGATTTCTAAACTAAACTGCATATGTTTCTTTTTCTGGTGGTGTTTTAGGAAAATAACTTGATGTAGCTGTATCTCAAAACTAAAATCTACAAGATTTGCATTTTTCCATTTTCCCGCTTGCCAGAAGTGTAACACAGACTCCTACACAGATTCTTTTCATGATCATCTACCGAGGGCTAGAATTAAGTGTTAAATTATTCTTTATGGATTATTCCCTGCTCCTTTTTGTGCACAGTTAAGATAGAACTCAGCAAAACAAGGTAAATGAGAGTAATTCACGGTGCTGGGACTGATCCTCAAAAATCATCTGGATTGGAGCTAATGCATGTTGANTTTTTTTAAAATTAAAAATATAAAATAATCTAATTCAATCATTTGTTCAAAATTCTGTTGTAAGGCACCGTGCTAAAATCTTAACCTTTTTGCACTTAAAAATCAACATCTCGCCGTCCAAATGCAGTCATCGTGAAAGAAATAGTCGTCAGGTCATCAATAATGTCATTTCTGCGCAGCATTTATGTGGAGGAATGCAACTAATATCACTTTCTGTATCCTGCACACATATGCTATATGCACAGTTGACATTTCTTTATGAAATAAGTATCAGTGGTGCCTATTAATGCATAATGCTCATGTGCAAGCATAAGAAGTGACGTTAGCAGCGTACTGATGACCTGCAAGTCAGCCATTTTATCATGTCCCTTCATAATGTGGGCCTAAGACATTGGACCTAAACCTATAATGGCCTACATTTATTCTTATATTAAAAAAAAGACATTCTTTTAGTGCAGAGTTAAGATAGTCGTAGTCAAATCTACCAATGTATAGTGTGGGGATTTCTCTATTTGACCTTCAAGAATACCCTACACGCATGGTGCTGCTAATGGTATGTTTTATAAAAGGGATGCACCTTACTTAACCTGTATGTGGAACAAATTACCATGTTGGGAGCTCAAGTCTAGGCTGCCACTCCAGTGTAGTGTTGGGGGACTGCTGCATTGCAGTAGCTGCTGTCCAGCACCCCATTGGAGTATCATCTTAGACTGTAAGTTTAAAATCCCGACGTGGGGCTTGAACCCACAACACAACCTTCTGATTCACTGGCGAGTGTTACCACTGCGGCAAGCTGATGACACACGTATGTTATTCTTCCTGAGACTGTATCTGTGTTGAAATCATTGTACTATTTCTTGCTGTAATTCATTCTTTCCAAGAAACTAGCTTGAAGCACACTGTAACTTTCCTTAGTTTTCGTTCTTCGTACAATCGACAAGTTTTCAAAGTGTCACCAAACCTAAGAAGCTTCCTGCCTTCCGTTATTTCTATTCTATTGTTTTTCAGTCTTGGTGGTGTATAGTACTTAGGTTTTGATATGTTTTAGCAGGCAGGTATCTTAAACCCATTGCTATGTTTAAGAGTTTTCAAACCAGACTGAGATACAAAGGTCAAGAAGTGATATTACAGTTGTACAAAGCACCGATCAGACCTCATTTGGAATATTGTGTACAATTTTGGTCACCAAACATTAGGAAGGTTATATTGACCTCAAAGAGTGTGTAGCATCAATTTACTTGAATGATTCCTAGTGTCAAAGGTCTAAATTATGATGAAAGGATGGAAAACTTGGATTGAATTCTCTCAAATAGAGGAGATTGAGCGATGATCTGGT